TTTGTAACCCTGTGTATTCATTAAAAACTTTCTAGCTTTAGTGGGTAATGCTAATTGAATAAAACATTTATGTTTTGGAAGGAAAACAACAGAAATTTATTTTAAGAGAATTGGAAGTAAATATGATAGCCTGTTCTCAAGATTTAGGTTCTTTAAAAAAATCAAGTAGCAAAGTAAGAAGAAGGAAGGTGTAGGTAATGTTAAAGTGCATCTTTTCCTGGAGGATTTTTGTTGTTGCTGTTGCAAAACATGCCTATTACAGAGCACATGATGATAATAAGATAAATTTCCCTTGCTGTCTTCAAAAAGAACTCTGTGTTCTTTTTCTGAAACTATAAGACAAATATACATTTATTCTGTATAGGCACTGCAAACTTGCTAACAATGTGACACTATTAGCTGGAACACAAGTAATAAACTTTTTTTTTTTTTTTTCAGTTGCCCTGGTTTAGATTTCATGGATACAGATGTGGGGGGGAGCAAACTATGTTTGACTCATGAGATAGCTCTGAATGACAACAAATCATTGAGGTTTGCAATTATTGAGATGTATAGAGGCAAATTCAGTTCCTGCAAAAACTGTATTTCCCCTCATGATGTATATTTAATATTACCATTCTTTCAAATTCAAAACCGAGGACACATCATCTGAAAAATCAAAGCATATTTATGCTTGCATTGAAAGCTTTGGGGCTGTTATGATTAATCTCAGGCAATTTTTATACTACATTGGATTGTTTATGCTCTTTCTACAAGTATATAGAGGTTTCACTGAAACACAAAGCTATAAGACTTGTTTGCATTCAAGTGTGGTTTCTGTAGGTCCTGTTTCTTGTCTAATATAGTCTAAAGAACTCTTGCAACCTAAACAGATCCCTACCTGCTCTACATAATGCACACCTTTTAGAAACAATCTCTGTATAAAAGGTAGTGATGCCAACCAGCTCCTCTGAGTGGTAGTAAAGTATGATGCCAGATAATTCTGATGGTAGAATGATAAAAATGAGTAAACTCTCTTCTTCTGCCCTTGTCCCTTATGGTTCCACTCGATTCTTAAATCATTTTTTCCAAATAAATAAAAAAACTTTTGCATTGTTACAGATGTTGTAGTACAGTCTAGAAACATCTTAATCTATTGTCATAGAGTTTTATTTTTTCTTTAAGCAGACAGGGCACTCTTTTGGATGTGAATGGATCAGAGATTTAACTAAGTTTCTGGAAGTTGGGAGAGAAGGAAGGAGCTTGCTTCTTGTACCACATGAAATCACAGGGCTATTTTTTCGGGGAGGAGTCAGGGGTATGGGGACATTAGAATCCTAAGCACTCCTTTCCAGGTGGGTTGGCTTTGAAATGCAAACCTGAACCCCTCTCAAAGAGCACAGGAAGAAGTAATTATCCCAATTTCCTCTGTAACATTGTAAAGTTTAGGTGCAATTTCAAGTGAAGATTTAAAAATTCTCACTTCATACAAGGTTATAGGAAATGCAAAGTGAGTTGAATATGTATGTGATGGGGAAAGCCCCAGAAAAATTGGTCTCCCTCTGAATATGTGCCAAGGGTCTAGAATCATCTTTTCATATATTTGAGTCAAGACTGATATATTTCAAAGGTTGATATATTCAATTTTAATTTTTTCTGAGCCTTTAAAATGCCCTTAAAATATATATGCCGCTATTCGATGTTACTTCAAAAGTACCTTGTTACAGGATGCACTTTCAGTCCACCCTCAATCCACTGTTTATAATCCTAAAACCTCAGTGTCAATAGTCTTTCCATTTGTAACTCAAGTGTCTAGGACACAATAATATTAGGTAAATCAAACTGAACTTGACTTATGTGCTGACTCCTTTAAAAAATGCCAAGACATTACATGACAAGAGCTTGAATATTTGCCACACACCATGGCCCACTAAGCTTTTGCCATTTGGTTTTGCTTACTTTTGAACAGCTAGCAATGTACATACCTCCTTGTGGTTTTAGTTTGATCTCAGTGGTGAACAATGACTGGGTTGAAATTATTATTAATTAAATTCAACTGCCTCCTGGCTAAATGCCACAAAGGAAGACCCTTTAACTGGCTTGTCATTTTAGGCTCTAATGTCCCAATGGCAGTGGTCTTAAATATAATCTGAAGGCTGTATTCTGTCACTATGATCCTGAAGCATCTTCTACCAGGGAAAGTACAGTGGTTAGGCCAAAGCACTGATGAAGGTTGGTGTTTGTTCCCATCCCTCCCCTCATTGAAGGAATATGGCTCAGAGAAAAGAAATATGTTGAAAATGTAGGCAAAAATCTCGGTGCTTTTGTAATGGCAGCAAGGATTCCTGAAGACACCCATTTCCTATTCGTGGATATTTCTACGAAAAGGATCATATTTGTGGCTGTAAATGCACAGTTATAGTAGGGGCGTGTGTGGTTCACAGAGAAGCTGAGAAGTTAAGGCTACTATGCCTTACCCTTAGTTTACATCAATAGTCTGCTTCACTGGAAGAAGGCCAAACCAGAAGAAATCCTATCTGTAAGGATGGGAAGGTGAAATGAGAAGGAAGAACAAAGCAGAACATTACATTTACTTTATATGCAGATTTCATAAGGAACTTTAGCTCAACCAACTGAATCAGGGCTGACACTTCCCCATTTGCCATGGAATATCAAGGCAGTTCTAGTAAATTTTGTGACAATCGTTTTGAATGAAAAACATTGAAAAGCATATTTATTATTTACTTCAGAATGTTTTAACTAAGAGCTGGTCATTAGGCAGAAATGATTGTTGAGAAACATCCTTATGAGCAGAAAGCAGTACTACGTCATCTCTCGAGAGAACTGATGTTATTACAACCCATTAAAGGGAAGAATTTTCCTCCCCAGTGACTTACATACAGATATTTCATTCTCCTTCATGTGTTTCATTTGAATTATCCTTTTACTTATGGAAGCTCTAATTGTCTATATGCATATATGTATTTATACACAAATGCATTTATTTAACAATCTAAAACTTTTTAAGGCTCTGGTTTAAATTACTTTGATCAGAAAAAAATAAAAATAATACATATCATTTCTGGGACATAATATTTGAGAAATAGAGATTATTAGAGGCAAATGTAAGACTTCAATATTCAAGATTCAAGATAAAATATTATCTTTTTTTTTTCTTTTTCTTCTCATCCAATGGATACATGTGTTGGGTCCACATAATGACAGTTAGCTAAATCTCAGACAGTAAATTTAGTTATTCTGGTCCAGGGTGTCTTGAATATTTGATCTGGATGCCCAGTACATATTTGTGTCTTATTATATTGAGGAACAGATATAACTTTTAATATTGAGTCTACTGGCAGCTGATAGACATAGAAATACTTTTTTATAAAGGAAATTGGCACCCTGTCATGTACTATATCTTCATAGATAACTACAATGTACATGACTCATTTAATCAACCCAGACAAAAGTTCAAAGTGGAGGGCTTTTTTTTTGCATAGGCCATCTGACTTGACTGTCTATATAGATCAAATAAAAATGGGTGATTGCCAAATCTCTACTGTATTTTATATGAAAGAAAACCAGTCAAAGAGGAGAATTGTCTTACAGAAATTGTTTAGAAGACTGACATTTTACAAAGGAAATCTTGACATTTAGCAAAGATCAAAAAGACCAACATATTGGTGATGACATTATATAAACACAATCTTCAGGAAAATATTCTTGGGTCACTGTTAATATTTCAGGTCCAAGTAACTCCATAGGATTGAAAAGAAGATTAACCATTTTTATCTATGATCACTTGCATCTTTCTGTTTTGAGATTAAGCTTATTGGATACAAATTTTTAAAAAGGCTTAGACTGTCATTTTATCACAGAATTAAAAAAAAAGATAAGATAATATACAAAAGGAGCATGCAGTATGGAGAAACTACTGAGAAATGAAGAATAAGTACATTTTAAAGCTTGACTTCCTCCCCAGATGAAGTGATGAGTTCACTGATCCACAATTACCTTTTATGAATACTTAGATAAAAGATGGGATCCTCACAGTTAAAATTACGGAGCAAACAACTGAAAGCCTAAGAATGGACAATCTCCCATGGACTCTTGGGAAGTACCTGCAATGTACAAGAGTCAACCTTTCTGCAGCTGACACACTGTTGTGTTTCAGATTACATTTCATGCTAATTACTTCCTCGAAATTATGGATCTAGGTAGGAGACATTATTCTTTTTTTTTTTTTTTTTTTTCTTAAAGATTTTTTATCTATTTATTTGACAGAGAGATCACAAGCAGGCAGAGAGGCAGGCAGAGAGAGAGGAGGAAGCAGGCTCCCCTAGAGAGCAGAGAGCCCGATGCGGGGCTCGATCCCAGGACTCTGAGATCATGACCCGAGCCGAAGGCAGCGGCTTAACCCACTGAGCCACCCAGGCGCCCCAGGAGACATTATTCTTTAGAAGAATACAAAACAAAGAAACAAAGGTGGAAATGATGTCTTAACCAATATTAAGGTTAATATTAAAGGTAAAAGATAGAAGAAAGTATTCCTTACAGAAGACTAGATAAAGTCTTGAGCTTTCCACACAAGTTCCTTTGATCAGAGGTGGCACTTACTTTACATGTCACCATGCTAAATTTAACAACTGATGGTTTTTGTTTGATGAGGTCATAAATATTTGCTTGAAAACAAAATATTACACACAGAAGGGCCATCTTCTATAATGACCTCAATTCACATACCATGGTGCGTTTTGGTCCCATTGGACATCTTCCTAGTGATTATGTACACAAGCTGGACTTTTTAGTGTGGTGTGGTCCTTCCTTCCCAGCAACTGACTTAGTTGAGATGTCCTTCACATGTGTAGAGTGGAGTGCTCAGAAGATCGAGTTTTGATGACTCAGGAGCAGGCACTTTCCTAGGAAACTAGAGTCTTCCACAGGTTCTTTCAGTGACCTGTTTCCACAGAGATGGTGGCTTCTAAGCTCAGTGAGGGTCTGAATGGCATGAGACCCACCTAGGGCAATGGAGCAGTTTCTGCTTCCAGATTTTCTAGCTGAAAGAGGAAAGAGCAAAGATAGTGAGCATTTCAAATTGGGTTGCAATGCACATTTATCAGGCATCTTCTGTGGGTCAGAACTGTCCTGAGGGCCCTCAGTATACTTTCACTTGTAACCTTCAGAGCTTTTACTAAATGTCAAGCATTAATTAATTTCTTGGGTCATTATGAATAATCTCTTGGATCATTATGAGTATGCTATCGCATTTGTACACACTAATGAATAAGAATTATACACTAGTCATCAAAGAGATATTATTGATATTGGCTTCCTTGAAAAAGTACATTTTGAATCCAAATCCCTTATCTCCCTCTGTTCTTGACTCTCTTTCTCCTTCTTTATCCCCAAATCATTCATGACTTGACAAAAATTTCAAAAGAATAGCAGTGTCTCTTTTTGCAATACCTTTCATGTTCTTCATTTCTAGATGAAGACATTTTTATTTTTCATTCAGTTCTCAAAATTAATGGATATTTTTTTTCTGAAGCAACCAATTTGAAGTTCAGGGACTTTTGCCACCCCCACTTCCACTGTAATGCTGGCATATACATTGAGCAATAACATGACATTTGTTCACACACATAAAAATGTGGTTTGGTATTTTCAAATATGGGAAGATAATTGTGGCAAAGAAATACATTTTGTAATTAACAAGTAATCTCTGCTGTCATTGATAATATATTCTTTGGTGAGAAGGAAAGGAGGTCTTTATAGAGTCAGTATAAAGGGAGGGCTTTTCCTTTAACTTTATTCTAGTAAATTTCACAGTTCAGGAAAAGTGCAAGAATGAGAATAGCATAAAGAACATTTGTGTATACTTTATCCAGACTCACCTGCTATTAACATTTTATCCCATTTGTTTAATCATTTGCTTTCTGTTCTTTTTTTTTTTTTTGCTCTTCTTCTACACACACACACACACACACACACACACACACACGCACACACTATCTCTCTGAACTATTTGATACTCAGTTGACTTTTTGTCACTACAGATTTCAATATATATTTCCTAAGAATGAGGAATAGAAAGATCAGGATCATCATTTGGAGAGGCAGTCTACCATGAACCCTGGTTGTCCTGAACATCCTTGCTGACTGTGCCAAACTGCAAGGCTTAACCCTCCTCTGGCCTGGAATAGTTTCTGCAGGTGGTCACATAAGCAATTAGGTAGGCCAGAGTGACCAAAGCATTGATCACTGTTTAAGTGCCTGTTCCTAGGGAGGTTTGTTTATTGCTTGCCCTCAGAAGGGCTGGGACTTTAGCTCTGGGTACCTTAACTGTGACACAACCCATTGTGTGTGCAGCCACCATCAGGTCCCATCACACTGTCCAGTGGGATTTGGGGACAGAAGAGTCACTGCTATGCTAAAGTTTCTGCTGCTGTTGTGCTGTAAGTACTAAACTGTTGACTTTGGTCTACATTTGGCCCCTAAATAGTTGTAGCAAAACAACCTGCTTGCTTGCTTGCTTGGTTTACTCCTTTGGAATCTGGTTACTTCTAGCCATCTTCTAAGAGGTTCTTCCCAAACTGGCACCGTGAGCAGGATGTCAAGATAGACAATGACTTTTTGGAAGAGAAAAGGCAAGGGCTCATGGACTGGGTTTGGAAATATGAAGAAAGTCCTTAAGTCCTTGGGATGTGGTAGGAAATGTTCTGGCAAATGTGCTACAGAAAGAGTCATCCACTCCTGTCCTCGCTATTGACGAACATGACACAAGTCAATAGATGGGGGCTGAGTGATGAGGGATGAAGTCTAACCAATTGCCCAAATGGTGCCATGATTGTTGCTTGCTCTCCTATGGACACAGAGGCTAAGAGAACTCTCTGAGCCCCACAAGGGAAGAAAGCACAACTCCACCAGTTTTAAGTCAAGACTAGAAACAACTACAGGGCAAATGCCTCTATAATGAATACTAATACATAGATCCATAGTGAGAGGGAAAATAGAGATATCCAGGAGTGCTTTGATCAATAGGTTGAGGAACTGTTAGACATGTGACTGATGAAGGAGTTAGGGAGGTTATAGTCTTAACGAATAAGGAGACTTTCTTGAGGCCAATAAAATCCCGTGAAACCCTATGGAGAAAGCTACTCAAAGGCTGAGGCTGCTCTAGACTTGTTCTATCCTGAACAGAAAGACAGTTTGATTATGATCCCACATCCAGAGAATGACTGGTTCACTTTTAAGATTATCCCCTTCCCTACAAGGTGGTAGCATTCTACTACTTTTTTTGGTGGGAGACCTTGTGTTAGAAGCTGTGCTTGCTAAGGGCCATTAGACACCCATGATAAAGATAGAACTCTCTAAACCAGGCATTCTCTGCAATCTAAGACAAAGGCCAAGATGGGACCATCCAACGTCCTCCAAATTATAAGGCAATGTGATATGCCTCTTAACCTGCGGGATCGCAAGTAGAGGCAGATGGGATAATTGTCAAAAAAATGCAGTCCACATATAAGGCTACGACAGGCCCCAATGGGGCAGTTAGTAATTCATTACAAATAAAACTCTGTGTGCCTCCATAGAACCAGATTCTTTTGTGAAGACTAATCTCCCTTTAATGAGGAGCTAGGAAGCCATGTGGCTGTCTTAGGTAAAATATCTCCTTTGGAACTCCTATTGTCTGACCCCCATTTCTGTATTATACTTTGAAAATCTTTAAAGATAAGGGATGAGGTAAAGTATTTTCATTTACAGCAGGGTTCAGAGACCTCATATCCTTAGAAGGTCAGAATGGGGTAGGGGAGAAAGGTAAGGGGGGGTGAATACACACACACACACACACACACACACACACACATAAATGAATATAAAATGAATATAAAGAGATATATATGTATGTATGTGTGTATATGTGTGTGTGTGTGTGTGTGTGTGTGTGTGTGTGTGTGTATATATATATATCTATATCTGTGCCTGAAAGACTAACATGCTAGGTTCTCTTGAGAGGTGAGGACTACACATTCAATTAGCCAGATTTGAAACAGAATAAAATGAGAAAAAAAGTAACTGTTTGGATCCTTGTCATGCACCATTTTCGTTGCTCCCAAGACTGAATGTATAATTGGCATTGATAATTTACATGCTTGTTCGGTGTAGGGTTGTTCTCCAAGGGAGATGTTCCTGATATGGAAGAGCCTCTTGTGGATGGGTGATGAGGGAGATGCATGCACAACAGATCACACCTCCACTTCAGTTTCCCTTCCATGGTCTAGAAAAGACCCAATTTAGAATTCCAGGAGAAGGAGAGGAAAATCACAGTTTAAATGTAATACTGCTTATGAAAAACACTGTATCTTAATATAATAGTTCTGTGTCCCTGGCGAAAAAAGCTAAGGCGATATGGAGGCTTATGCAGGATAATTGCCAACTGAATTCAGTTGGTGCTCCTACATCCTGGCTACTCTAGCCATTGTGACTATGACTGAAGCAATTGCCCATAATGGCACCTGCTATGCTATCCTGGACTTTGGTCATGTCCTTTTCTCAAATGCTTTAGCCCCTGGAAGACCCAAATCCCTCACCTGGCTGAGACCCCAGAACATACTGGGCTGCAGTAGTAATACTTGAACCTTCCTGCTATTTGCCACCAATAGGTAGGTTGACACACAGAACAAACCCTCTCTTTTTGTTGGTGACATGGTCCTACCACATCGATGATATTATCTTGATAAGCCCTAATAAAGTTAGCAGATGCTGACTCATATGAAGGCCCAGGAAAGCTTGTTAACAGCTTGTTAATCAGAATTAGCATTCTGATAAGATACGGGGACCAGCCAACCATCCAAATCAAAATTTTGGGAGCAATGTGGGCTACAACTCAGAAGCGGATTGTGAAGACAGTAAAGAGAAGAGAACTATGGTTCTCTCCTTTCAGAAAGGCAGTCTCACAGTTGCACCATTCAGGCATTGGAGATAATATGTACCTTATCAATGTATGTATTTGTTGAGTCTGAAAGTTAGTCAGAAAATCTGACAAATTTGACTGAGGGCCTAAGCAGCCCATAACCCTGGAGGTTGTTCCAACATCCCAGCCCTGGGGCCCTTTAAAGCTCCATAGGAGGAGGCAGCCTCCATGGAGAAAGCCTCTGCATGCCTCCTTGGTACCATTACCTACTTGAGTTGGGGAAGGAACTCCTTAAACGTTGGAGGTACTGGGAGAGGGAAATAATGAACCCTCTCTTTGTCTCCAAATACTAGCTCCACAACCTGGCAAAATAATCACATGGTTCATTGAGACAAGAAGCATCTCTGACTGACAACTTGACCAACTGCTGAGAAGGTCTATGTGTTGTGGGATAAGGAAAACTCATCAGTGTTTGGATGGTCCTGAGTGACTCTACTGTGTCTAATGTTATCAAAGAAAACTCCTAAATGTGAAGCTCCTTGCCCATGTACAAATGCACAGATAGATGTGATCTTGCTTTAGTTAGGGTCATACCAATTAATTTGCTTTTCCTGACACCTGAGTGCTCTTGGGTTATGCCATGTATGGCTATCAAGGCTATAATTACTTGATGACCCTGCCCATATGGACTATCCAGATTAATGTAATGATGATCCAAAACAAACTTATCAACAAATTCTGAACTAAAGTAACCTGTCCCGTCAGTTATATGTTTGTATGTGGAGAGAATGGGCCACAGGATTTCTCTCTACTGGGCATGGTGGGGGCTGCTGGTTAACTCTTCTTTGTCTCCTGCAATTATTCGCAATGACACCATTCCTTGAATCACATTCCCTTTCTTAGGCCCCCAGATAAAGAGGGCTGTCCAATGCTGTCTGACCTGAGGGATATGTAGATTCCTGTTTTCATGTAGCAGTGTGAAAATTGTCCCCCATCATCCAATTCCACATTGTAGAGACAGTCAAGAACATATCCTTTATTTTAGCTACCATAGCCAATGAGATGGAACAAGCCATGGGAGATCAGCAGATCAGGCTAAACTCTCTGATTGTAAATGGATCATTGATTGGCCTTAGACTATGT